TTAGGATTACACACACTCACTAACACACACAAATGTACAGCTCAGTGCCGGTGAGAATTCAGAGAAACAGACCCTCTGAGAGTGTGAATTGGGACACCCTTTTACATTTATTCTTTTCCTCTCTTTGTGTCTTTGTTCCTTTTGTTCCAATTTGAGCATTTAGATTAAGTGGAATCTCACTCAATTTAATATCTCTTGGTAATGGTGGTCCAATCTCTTGTCTCACTAAATCTTCACTTCTAGTTTTGCTTTATTCTAAACATTTATTTTATTCCATCATATTTTTTAAATCCTTAGTGCTACATTTGGAATTTTATTCCTAGTATTAAATTTCCTGTCTCCTATTCCTTTTGTTTCACTTTTATAGCTACTATTTCAATCCTTTTCTCTTTCTGTTTTCATTTCTGATTTTAAGCGTATTTTTGCCTTCTGAACCGTCTTATTTATAATCTCTTTTGTGCCCTTACTCTGTTTCTTTTTAATAATTTGTTTGATGATATATATCAAAATGTATACTATGCCTTACCAAGTTCTTTCAGAGGCCCTCTGGGTCATTTAATCCTTGTAAAGCAATTGGCACAATAACTGGTACAGTGCACTTAAGAACTGTTAGACATCTCCATGATCAATCCCAGGGCTGTAGGAGGTCATTTCACCTATCCAGCTTTACATGGTTGATAAAACCATAAAAGTTTTTGATTGAGTTTTGTTGAACTTGAAATATACACGGTCAGAGAGCTGATAGAGATTGAACTCCAAAGAAGTTTATTTTGCTAAGGATTAACGTAGTTCTGAATCCCTCACAAGTATCAGCTGAGATTCTAGGTTGCAGACATTGCCAGCTAGGAGTCACTTAACTTCAGATTTTTCAGCTCTTCCAAAAACAACTTTATTGAACACTGTTAATTAAGAAATTCTTCTTATGAGGCATAAGAAGTTCATCCAGGAATTCAGCAAGGAGAAATACAAAATCTGCTTGATGTATATGAAACCATTCCTGCCATTTCCACAAGTAAAGACACGTGCTCTAGAGTGAAACTGACTTGAGATTGAACCTTGGCTCTCGTGAGGCAGGACGTGCTGTGCTAGAGATAAGCAGAGACTGACAGAGGACACTGGGACAAAAGAATGACGGAAGGACTGAGTTCAGGCCTGGTCTTCAGTGTAGGAGGAGGGTGCTGGGATGAGACTGAATCCATTGTATTGGCTCTAACGGGGTCGCATAGGTCCAGGGCTGTAAGAGTGACACGTCGGAGTGTCAGCGCAAGGGGGCCAGGATCAGGGAGGGAGTCACAGACACCCGGAGGACATGGAGCCCTTCTGTTTGATACCGTGCCCACAGCTACACTCAACCCAGGCAGACACAAGGTGGGGGTGGGGTCTGGATGGGACCTGTCTTGATTAGATAGGAAGGACTTTGATCAGTGACTGTAACTGTCCTCTGACTCGTGTTTGCACATCCCTGCACACGTGTGCATGGTCACAAACACACCCACACACTCCGATTCTCGCTCTCTCCCTCCTCCCCCACCCAACTCTCTCACTCTCCACTCATTCTCACTTTCTCTCACTCTCACTAAACTCGAAGTTCCTGGAGCCATGTTCTCTGTATCACATCTTTGTCCTCAACTCTTACATAATGCATGGCAACTTCCATGCCCACTCAAAAGTTTTGTCACCTTGGCTGCGTTACTTCAGCTCTGACTCATTTTCATTTTCTGAAAGATGAGGAAAATCATTATTACAGTAAGGTGGTTGTGGGATTAATGAGATAAAACATGAGGGAATCTGGCTTTCTGTGACCCGAGTGCCTTCCTTCCACATGTCCGTGAGCTCTTGTTCTTTCTGCCACCGTGAGCGCACATCCACGGCCCTTTGCACACAAAGCTTATTTATTCCTGGGACGCTTGCTGAGTGGCTGTGCGCCTGGACCAGAAAACAAAGTGCCTTTCACATGGCTGCCTTCATTCTTCCTCACAGAACCCTTTGAGACAGGAATAACTTTGTCCCTTTTATAGACGGGGAGCTGAGGCCCAAAAAGGGAAGCAACTTCCCAAGAGCCCACAGCAACTGAAATGTAGAGCCGAGATTCTCACATCACTCCAGCGCTAGAGAGCTTTCTCCATGCCTGGTCCACCCTGTAATGCGCCTTCTGTTGTGGAGCATGTGTTTCTATTACCTACGGCCAGTGTAGGAAGGGGGTGTTGTCTTTGGTCAAACAGACATGATTTACTAAGAAGTCCCTGATACACAGACTTATACTAAACATATCTCAGCCTTCCATGGTGGTTCAGATGTGCTGAATTCTCTCTCTTCACTAGACTCTAGGATGCTTAAAGTTAGAGACCTTGTTTATGTTATTACAGTTACAGCCTCATGCCTTGCTCTATGGACACATGCTGAATGCTCACTCAATTCATGCTGGGTGAGTATGTGAATGGATATTTTGTAAGGAACCTTGCACATCCTGAAGTGAATTGACTCTGAGCCTTGTTGAGAGGAGGAGAAAAGGAAACAGAAACATTCCTATCAGGCCAGGGTGCCCAAATATATACACACAATTGCTTCAAGATGAGCCCCTCCAGCTATACACACACATCCCTCCATTCATGAACACTCAGGTGTGTGCATATTCAGCTGTGACTATTTAACTGTTTTTCAGTTGGTGAAGAAATACGGGAACCTTATTGGCCTGGAGTTTGGAAACATGTCTTCAGTAGTTATTACTGGATTGCCCTTGATCAAAGAAGCCCTTATCCACATGGACCAACACTTTATGAACCGCCCCATTCTTGCTCTCCAAGAACCTATCGTTAAGGGAAATGGTAAGTTTCTTGGTCAGTTGAAGCTATGTGTTGATATTCTTATGGTCTGTTAGAGGTGCCTCTGTGACTATATTTTTCCAAAAACCCCCAGAAACTGGCCCCGTTATAAGCATCCTGCCTATAACGGAAGCTGGGTGCCCACATTTCCTCATTGAAGTCACCCCCTCAGAGCACTTCACAGGGTCAGCCAGACTAGAGATTTTGGAGAAGCCTCATGCCCTGCACAAACTCACACCAAATGCTTTTATAATGAAGAAATCACATCACCCAGTTATGGCAGAGGAAGAGGCGGTGTGTTCTCTCTCTCTGCTGTCCCATTCCAAGCCTCTTCCCTTAGGAAAGTGGATGTGTATCTGCTTCCTTCTGCCGCTGTTTTCTGTCTCTAGCTCCTTATGCTCTACCATGAAGGCCGTGCTGACCAGGGATCTCCAGCCTTAGGGTCTATGTTAGAACAGGTCAGTGTGAATACTTAAGATTATCATTAAAGAAACTTAAACATTCAAAAATTAAAATGAAATCTCAAATCTATTATTCTCTCAAGGACCATTTTGAAGTTCTTCCTAATTCCTCTTTGAAATATTAATCAATTAATTCTACATCCATTCACTGTACTATCTCCCATGCGAAGCACAGTGCTGGGCAGGAGTGATATCACAATGAATAGAACAGATACAATCTACATCCTTGTGTAACTTCTATTCACTGTAATAACCTAAAGTCAATAGTGTATGAAGATAAATGCAGGATGCACTTATGAGGGGCATCTAATGTAGTCCTGGGATTCAGGAGAAGCTAATTTAATGAAATAAAGAAAAATCAAGCAGTGGGAAAAGAATATAAAAGTCCATGAAGTGTACAGAAGAGAGTGGACTTGAGGAATTGAAAGGTGGCTAATGTGGCAATGACAGGAATTAAAAGGAGATAATTAAATGAAAATGAAGCTGCTGCACTTGGCCAGGAATAGTTCATACAAGTTCTTATTAAGGATGTTGGTTTTGATCCTAATAACAACAGAAGTTCTTGAATGGTTTTAAGTAGAGAAGGAAATTATCATATTAACTGTGTCCATTTTTAAGACTCATTTAGGCTGTCATTTAGAGAATGGATTAAACAGAACAGGAGACTAGTGTAGGCTTTAGGGTCATAGAAGTCGGTAGCTTGGACATAGGGCGTGGTGGGAAATGGTAGTAGGTTAGACCCAGGATAGCGGCAGTGAAGACACATGGATTCAAGACATCCAGGAGGTGAACCTAGTAACACACGATGGCCTAGATGCAGGGAGAATGAGGTGTGGAGGTGACACCCAAATGGGTCAATGATGGAAAGAAGGAACACTCAGAAAAGGACAAGGCATTTGCTTGGGTTGGGCATGGGTGGGGAGTTGTATGGAGAAAATCATGAGTTCAAGCATGGATATGCTGAGTTTGAAATGCCTTTAAGTCAGCAAAGTCAGACAGTTGTATTAACATGTATGGGGCCACAGCTCAGGGACAGCAATAGATGCTCACTATCAATAGATGCTATTTGAAACTTTAGGGATTTAGAAGATTTTCCACAAATGGAATATAATATGAAAAGAGAAGAGGCTTTAGACCTCATTTTGAAGAACTCCACCACTTCAAGATTTAATAGAAGAAGATAAACCAGAAAAATATATGGGAAGTTGCTGGCAGAGAATTAGGAAGAAAATCTGGAGAGCGTGGTATCCTCAGCATCACTGGAAGGGAGTGTTTCCAGAAAGAAATGTCTAATGCTGCTGCAAGATCAAGTAAGATGAGGTCAAAAGGTATCCCTGGACGTGACAGCAAGGAGGGCCATTTCATTGGTGATGGAGGCCAAAGCCAAGTGTGAAAGGAGTGGAGCTTGCTCTGGAAGTGAAAAAATGGAAAGGAGCACAGCCTCACCTGTGTTGTGGGCATATAATGGTCTGTTGAACATACCAAGATGGTTTTCTTTCCCTTTGCCTATGGTGTTCTTCTCTATATGTAATATTCACTCCCCCTTGTTTTCTTGAGTTATTCCTTTGTCTTTTAAGGCCTGGCTTAGATAAGAACTCTCCTATAAAGCCTTTTATTTTTTTTTTTGCCTCAAGTATATTGACTTTATCTTATCCATAAGTGCATTCCTAACATTTAGCAAAAGATGAATACTTAACTTTACTTATGTGGCCAATAATCAGAGCATGGGCTTTAGAATCAGGAAGACCTGAGTTTGAGCACCTCTTTAGCTGTGTACTGTGTGAACTTATGATGTTTACTTTTATCCTCTGTTTCTCAGGTTTCTCATTAGTAAAATGGGGTGGTGGTGGTAATAATTGTACCTACCCCACAAAATTTCTCTTGAGTACAAAATTACAGAATGCATAAAAATATTTACCAAAGTGCCCAACATCCCAAGCAGTCAGTTATGTCCACTGCTTTGGGGTGATTTCTCTGAACAGGTTTCAAGTACATTAATACCCTTCCCCTTCCCTCCATCTGATACACATCCTCATACAATTTGATGAAAATTCACATTATCGAACCAGAACACCATAATATTGACTGTCTTTTCCCCAGGATTGATCATGTCCAATGGCCAGGTATGGAAGGAGCAAAGAAGGTTCGCCCTGACAGCACTAAGGAACTTTGGTCTGGGAAAGAAGAGCTTAGAGGAACGCATTCAGGAGGAGGCCCGCCACCTCATTGAGGCAATCAAGGAGGAGAACGGTGAGCATTTCACAGGACAGATGTAGGAGATTGTGGCCCATTCATTCATCGCGTAGATATTTATGCAGTGCCTAAGTGCTTGTTCTGTGCAGAACACCATGTTAAGTACTGAGCATAAAACAGTGAACAACGCTCCATGACCCTACCCTCAAGGAGTTCTAGAATTAAATACATGGAGATGGGCAAAAAACACATTACTGAATTTAAGTCCTGGTCATCAGTTTGACTGTGGCATTGGCAGAGTACCTGCTGTATGTCAGACCCAGGGAGAGACGGTGTGGCCAGGCTTCATGTATGGTTCAGTGCTAGGTATGCTCTATGTCATAGAGAGTAGAGTCTCAGTAGGAACTAGAAACCAACCCGTCTTGTCCTTCCTCCCCATCCAGGGCAGCCTTTTGACCCTCACTTCAAAATCAACAATGCAGTTTCCAATATCATTTGCTCCATCACCTTTGGGAAGCGATTTGAGTACCAGGATGGTCAGTTTCAGGAGTTGCTGAGGTTAATGGATGAGGTCACATATATGACTGCTTCAATACCTTGCCAGGTAAGGCAGTTCTTTTTCTATATCTTGGTAAAGGACATTGAGGCTTATGGCAGATACAGATAGGTCTTTGCTTTTAGTTTTTCTTGGTGGGGGTAGATTGGGGGAAAGTTGAAGCTAGAAAATATCCTTTTAAATTTGATTTATTACAAACTTATTTGAAATCAATCTGTTGACTCTACTGTTTTTAATAATATTAAATTTTTAACAAGTGTTTACCATATGCATAAAACAGTTCTGTTGTTCATGTAAAGTTCAAAATTTTACATGACATACATCTATTCACCTATGTAGTCTGATCCATCTAATATATCATTCCCCTTCCACTTTTTATCTAATGGTTACAAAAATTATTCATGATCATTGACTATATGCATTATTTCTTTGCAGGATTCAAATTGGTGATACTGTAATTATTTTTCTCCCTCTTTGTAGTTGACTTACAGTTATTGATTTTGTATGGATCAACTTTGGTAAATTATTAATAATATTATAATTAATCTTTGGATGACTTCATGGGCAATCATGTATATGCAAATAAAGGTAGCTTTGTTTCTTCCTTTCCAATCCTTATCCATTGATTCCTCTTTCTTACTTCATTGTGCTGGCTAGAATGTTCAGTGTGCTAAAATTTCCTACTAAGATGGTGGCTTTTTCTCATTCTCATTATATTTCTGTCAATTTTTACTTTATTGCCTTTACAGCTTTGTTGATAGATACATACATGTTTAAATCATTATTTCTTCCTAGTAATTGAAACTTTTGTAGCTATTTAGTAATGCTCTTTATGTGCATTAAAATTGTCTTCCCTAAAGACTATTTTGTCTGATATGAATAAAGGTAATTGTCTTTCCTTTGTTTAGTGTCTGTTTACTACTCTTCTATCCTACTTTCTACATTCCTATGCTCTTACATTTTAGATGCTTCCTTTTGAACAGCAGAAAGCTAGATGTAACTTTTATATTCACTCTGAAAATCTTTGTCTTCTTGTTGGACCATTTAGTTCCTTTTCTTTTAATCAAAATTATTACCAAATTGGAACCAATTTCTAATCATTTTGTGATTTCTATTTATCTGTTATTTTCTCCTTCTTTGACTTATTATCAGTGAATGTTCTTGCTTTACTTTTGCCTGTGTTCATTTAGAAGATGAGCAGGCTTCTTCTATTATTTTAGTCTTTACCTTAAAATTTTAATATTCATAATTAAATCAGCAGCTTCGACAATTATTATCTTTATCCTGCCACAGAATACGCCTGATCAATGATTTAGGTTACTCATGTCATGTGTTTTAGTTTGTTCTTCTTTTAACTCAAAAGTATATATGATTATTTTGTTTGAGGCAATGAATGTTTGCTTATATTTACCCACATATTTGCCAGTTTCTTTTTCATCATCCCATTTATTTCACAGCCTCCTCTAGAATTTCTTTTAGTGAGGGTAGGTTGGTGGCAAATTTTTCAATTTCAGTTATTCAAAAATATCATTATTTTACTCTAATTAGAAATTTTTTTTTTATTTTCACTGTTTTTTTAATCTCCTTGGGTGCCCAGCTGACTCCTGAGTCCATGTCTCTGGGAAGAGAACACAGGGGCAGCAGGCTAGGGGTAATAAGCCTTTCTTGGAGTCTCGGATCATTCCAGGCTCTTTAACGGACAACTACACTTACTTTATCTCCATTAATTTTTGCAACAACTCTATAAAGATGAAATGAGGCAACATAGTGTGTGCAAGCTGGCATGCGAGTGTGCAGGCAAGTACAGAGAGTGGTCCGCCCGCTCCGTGCTGAGCGCTCTGTGTATCTCATGTCATTCGGTCCCCAGAACCATGCTGGAGCCCCACTGGCAGCTAGTTAAACTAAGGATCAACAAAGTGCAAAGTATATTATTATTATTATTATTGTTGTTGTTGTTTTTGTTACTGTTCCAACTGTTATAGCTAGATAGGAGCAGAACTAATAGTCACACCTTATCTGTCCCATTTTAACTCTAGGCATTTTTCCATTATGTGATGCTTTCACTTTTCCACCAAATATTAGAGAAGGTTTATTCAACAACCCCTTTATTTCAGTGAAAACTGTGAATTCTTACCCACATGGAGATACAACACGGTGGGGAAGACAAATGGGCACACACACACACACACATATACACACACAGGCGCGCGCGCGCGTGCGTGCACACACTTATTAGTGATAATTGCCATAACGGAAAACAAAAGAGGACAAGGGAATAGATGTAGGGTGACAAAGGTGTGGCCACTTACAGGATCATCAATCAGACAGCTCCAAAGAGGTGACATAGAGCAGAGCCCTAATGAAGTGATGGGCTGGGGATATGTGGACTTCAGAGGAAGACCTTTCCAGGCAGAGGGAACAGCAACTGCAAAGGCCTCAAACAGGAGCGTCCTTGCTGTGATCTCAGAGGTCACTGCTGGACAGTAGAGAGCAAGGTTAGGAAGGAGCCAGCCAGTCCGCAGGGCCCAGCTCGGTGGGGCTTACAGGCCAGAGGAATGAAATGGGACTTGGTCCTTGTGTGGTGGAAAGCCGCGAGGACTGAGAGCCAAGGAGTGAAATGACAAGGTTAAACTGCTAAAGGATCCCTCTGGCAGCTCTGGGGAAGATGGGCTGGGAATGGGGGCAATGGAATCACAAAACTGTGGAAAGCTCTTCTTACAGCATCCAGGGAAGGAATGGTGGTGCTTTGCACCAGGATGACAAGCTGTTGGGGTGGCCAGAAGTGCTACAAGGCTGGATACATTTTAGACAGAGAGCTGAAGTGCTTTGCTAGAGGGGTGAGAGAGAGAAAAGGAGTCACAGCTGATCAAGGTTTCAGTGTGAGCGAAGGAAAGACACGGAAAGGGAGGTTGGCTTCTGTTGTGTTAAAAGGTGGAAAAGTGGCACCATGATGTCTCCATAATTGTTTTCTTTTTCTCAATTAGCTCTACAATATGTTTCCATGGATAATGAAATTTCTTCCTGGATCCCATCAAACTGTCATCAAAATCTGGGAAAAACTGAAATTGTTTGTTTCTCATATGATTGAAAAACACAAGAGAGATTGGAATCCTGATGAAACAAGAGACTTTATCGATGCTTACCTCAAGGAAATGGCCAAGGTGAGGAAACCAAGGTTGTTTCTGTGTTTTATTCTTCAAGAGCAAATAGGATTTTGCTCGTTCCCTATTGCTGCTGTACCAAATTTCCACAAACTTGGTTGCTTGAAAGGATACAAATTTATTCACTTATAGTTCTGGATGTCAGAAGTCTGACATCAGTTTCACAGGGCTAAAGTCAAGGTGTTGGCTGGGCTACCTCCTTTTGGAGGCTCCAGAGGAAAATCTGTTTTTGTGATTTTTCTGGGTTCTAGAGGCTGCCTATATACCTTGGCGTGTGGCCCCATCCTCCATCTTCGAAGCCAGCAGCATAGCCTCCTCTGTGCCTCCAATCTCTGTTTCCATCCTTACGTCTTCTCTCTCTGGCTTTTACATTCTTGCCTCTCTCTTATAAAGACTCTTCTGATTGCATTGGGCCCACTAGGATAATCCAGGATAACTTTCCCATCTTAGAATTTTTAACTTAATCTCATCTACAAAGTCTCTTTTGCCATATAAGGTAACATCCAAGGTTCCAGGGATTAGGATGTGGATGGACATCTTTGTGGGCCATATCTCTGCCTACCACAGGGGAGTCAAACCCAGAGCAGTATTTCAGAAATTGTAGGGTAGCATTAACTCAGGACCGATGAAGCAATTGGAAGTAATGATGGGGGGTTAATGTGGATGCCCATCCCCATCCTCTCCTTCTACCCATATCTGAAGGAGCTGTACACAATGGGAAAAACATTACTTCAGCCTCAAAGTTCTATTTTATCATTACTTGGGCCTGGGCCCAGTGACCTACCCCTTCTCTCATCCCCCACTGCAGAACACAAGGAAAGCTGCGCTGGATGCCACAGTTTAACCTAGGGGCCTGAGTGGGGCTTTGCCTTCCCCCTTCTCCTGATAGCATCCACTTTCCTACATTATAGGCCAGAGCCAGGATGGGGGTGCAAACTGGACACATGCCTTTTTCCTCAGTGACCACTCTGGCTAATATACATCGTGAATCAGTACCACAATCTTTACACATCAATTTTTGGGTTCTCCTCATGGTGCGGGCAGAATGATGGATTTCTTTCCCTCTCTTTTCACCTTATTGTCACAACACTAATAGAAGAATTATCTTCTCCCCAGACAAGGAGAATTTTCTTCCTTGATGGTGTGCAAGTATGAGATCATGAATATTAACAGCAATGTTGGACAAATGGAAGCTTCCAGAGGAGCATAGTAAAGATGATGGGGTATTATGAGAAATGGTTATAGAGTCAGAGTGGTTCAAATTGGAAAGGAAAAGATTAATCAGGAGATAGGAGAATTGTTCATAAGAGGAATTCTGTTTATTCTTTCTGTTTTCAGTACAAACATTTGTTGGGTATTTGCTGTGTGCCCTCGCTTCTCACAGAATTCATAATGTCATCTTAGGTGGTGTGCATGGTTATTTCCATTTTCTAAAATAGGAAACCAAAGCACAGAGAGGTTATTTAACTTGCCCTAGGTTCTACAGCTGCTAACTGAAGTGACTGATATTGGAAGACGAATCTGTCTTGTTCACACCCCATTCTCTTTCCACTAGACTAATAGCTTCTCCCAAATTACAGGCAAAAGAAAATAATTGTCTTTCATTTTCCTTCACCCAGAAAGCTTCTAGCGCTTGGAGCAGAATGATGCTGACGATATTGCTGTAATAAGCCTCTGCCTCCTGAGGATGCCAAAGGGAATTTTGTTTCCTCTGGGGAACTTTCCTTCCAAACTCCCTCCTAGGATGAAGTCCCCACAGGTTATGGCAACAAGGAATCCTCTGAATAAACCAATCTAAAACAGTAAATATTGTCCTCCCTAGAATGCAGGCAAGGCTACTTCAAGTTTCCATGAAGAGAACCTCATCATGAGCACTCTGGACCTCTTCTTTGCTGGAACCGAGACAACTTCTACAACCCTGCGCTGGGGTCTGCTTTACCTGGCCCTCTACCCAGAAATCCAAGGTGGGTGTGTCAGTGTGCATGCCCCGCCCAGGACACAGTAATGCCTCCTGGGACGCACTGCCCAATGTTGGAGTCAGAAGAGAACATCATACAATGCAAGCCGTAGTAGAATTGTTATGAAGGGTGGGGATTGAGAATGGGCACATTCTTCAGATTGTCTGTCAGGGCAGTGATGGGTCCAAGAAATACAAATACAAGAGTGAATCCCTCTCTTCCAGTAGCTCTGAGCCAAGGAAGAAAGCAGAGAAGTGAATCAACATCCTGGAAAGTTCTAGGCAAGAGTTCCATTCTCATGTGAAAATCTAGGGGTGCCCTTCCTTCCTTTAGGTAATGCCTTCCCGTTTCTTCTGGATAATGTCCAAAGTCCTGAGCTGGATATATGACCCCCCTGATGTGCCCCTTTCTGCCTGGCCGGTCTCCACTTCTCCCCTCCCACCCTTCAGGTAGCCTCACTGCATTGCATGCCATTGTCTTTGCGCTGTCCTGGTTTATGCCTCTGTGTCCGGACACCCGCTCTTCCCTCTACCAAGAATGTGCTTCTCCATTTCTCTACACAGTAAACTTGCATCTCTTCTTGAAGAATCTGCTCAAATACTCCTCCCTACAATGTTTCTCCATTGCCCTGGGGAATTATGAGCATTTTCTTCCTCCAGAGATGACTCAGTTTGCCTCCATTATTGGGCTTGCCCCACGTTATTTCTATAGCTTCCCCGCAGACTGTGTCCACCCAAGAGCAGTGACTGTTCCCATCATTTCTCTTCCTCCGATTCCAGAGCAGTTCGAGCACATGGGGGATGGGAACTGTTATGACACAGTTTTTCACATTGTGGGTAACATTGATTAATGAGGCATAAACTCAATTTAATGGATCTGGACCAACTTTATTCCCTAAGGTAAATATAGAAAAGAAAAGATCAATGTGTTTCCCATGTACTAAGGGTAAGTTTGTTAGTGGAACTTTATTTCTTTCATTTATAGATGCCTAAATGGGTGCTTTATATGTGTGTATATTTATGTGTATGCATCCTGAGTCATTATGGAAGGTGCCTTTCTTACTGTGCGTTGCATTTTTTTAAAAGTTTGAAAGCTACTGAGTCAGGGTATACATTTGGCTTGTGGAATAGAGGCTCCAAAATGACAATGGATTAAAATGACAGAAGTTAAAAAATACATGACAGAAGTTTATACCCATGTTCATAGCAATATTATGACAATAGCCAACAGGAAGAAGCAACCCTGTGTTCACTGATGAGGAATGGATAAACAAAATGCAGAACATACATGCGAGGACATATTCAGCCTTAAAAAGGAAGGAAACTCTGACACATGCTACAACATGGATAAACCTTAAGGACATCATGCTAAGTTAAAAATGCTGATTACAAAAACACAAATACCCTATGATTCCACTTATATGATTATCTAGAAAAGTGAAATTCATAGAAAAGAGGGTAGAATGATGCTGGCTAGAGGCCAAAGGAGGGGGAAATGGGGAGTTGTTTAATGGATATAGAGTTTCAGTTTTACAAGATGGAAAGGTTCTGCAGAGCTATTGCACAACAATGTGAATATACTTAACAGTACTCAACTGTACATTTAAAAATGGCTCAGATGGTAAATTTTATCTTATGTGTATTTTGCCCCAATTAAGAAAAAATTTTAAATAATCAACAGTAAAAATAAATGGTAGACATTTATTTCTCTCTCAGGTAAAAAATTCTAATCTGGACTTTGCAAAGCACTTAGGGTTTCAACTCCTTCCCACTTGTCGCTGTTGTGTCTAGAGTGATGCCCTCATTGGCTGTCTCTTAGAAGGCTCCCATTAGGGCTGCCTTTCCACCCTAGGAAGGGAAAAGGGGAAACACAGATCCTTCCTTTAAGGGTGTGTTCCAAGGATTGATCATCACTTTTGCTTACATTCTATTGGCCAGAACTGAGTCCCATGGTCACACTTAGTCACAAGGGAATCTGGGAAATTTGCACTTTAGCTGGACAACCAGGTATCCAACAAAATCTTTAGAAAAAGTGAAAAACAGATATTAGGAGACAGCCACCAGTTTCTATCATTTGTTGGGTATTCACCTAAATCAGTTCAGGAATACCAAAACATCTTTATGATGAAGGTAGATTTAGCCTCACTAATCAAATGAGGAAACTGAGATTCAAAGTGTTTAAGTAACTTGCATCAGTAATGTTGTAGAGCAAGAGTTTGCAACCCATTGGTTTTACGCCAGGGCCCACTTTCCACTCTTATATACCTCCTTGAAAAATTACAGTCTACACTTCTGCTATAATCTGAGTATTTGTGTCCCTTCCCCCAAATTCATATTTTAGCCTAATTTACCAATGTGATGGTATTGGAAGGTGGGAACCTTTCGGAGGTGATTAGCTCATGTATGCATTGATGTCCTTAGAAAAGAAATTCTAGGGAGCTGCCTTCCCTTCCACCATGTGAGGAGGCAGTGAGAAGGGGCCATTTATATGTCAGAAAGTGGGGCTTCATCAGACACCAAATCTGCTGGTGCCTTGATCTTGTACATCCCAGGCTCCATAACTGTGAGAAATAAATTTCTGTTGATTATAAGCCACCCAGGTCATGACATTTTATTATAGCAGCCTGAATAGGCAAAGACAAGACCCTTCTAGGAGCATGTTGATCCTGGTTATTCATTCATTAGCTGAGCCAGGCTCAAAGAGAATTATGGAATTGGCAGTTTTCTAAAAAAAGCCCTTTGAAGCGTTAAGAACCGTTTTATTTCTTTGTAATCTGCTCACTCATTGAAATACAACAGATGAGATCTTGGAGACCACTCCTACATCTATACATGAAAGCACAGAAGTTTAACAAACCTCTCTTTTTCCAGAAAAAGTACACGCTGAGATTGACAGAGTGATTGGCCAGGGGCAGCAGCCCAGTGTGGCCGCCCGGGAGTCCATGCCCTACACCAATGCCGTCATACACGAGGTGCAGAGGATGGGCAACATCATCCCCCTGAACGTGCCCCGGGAAGTGACAGTCGATACCACCTTGGCTGGGTACCACCTGCCCAAGGTAAGTAGGCACTCCCGACCTCAGTTCTTCAAGCCCCTCTTTGAGATGGTGGAAATATGAACTTGAGAAGTGACATGTGTTCTTGTCCTGTGTAGTCATGTGAATGGGGAGAAAGCTGTCTTATAGCACATGTAATACTAGTATTTTCTCCATGTGGGCTCTTTAGAATGTTGGTTTAACTAGATATTAAGTGGTATTTTGGGGAATGGAGAAGGGAGGATTCCAGGCCAAATGTGTTTAGGCGAAGACTGGCTTTCCATTGCTGTGGGGCTCTCAGCATTTTCATTATGCTAACGAGAGTTGTGAGTCTCTGTGGGCACAGCAGGCAGCAGGTCTAGATCAGACTTTGCCACGTATGCCTTTCCTTTGCCTTGGTAGAGCATCTCACAGGACTAGGGACCTGGCCAGACTATGAAAAATTCACAGTCCTGGGGTTATAGAATGTGAGAATGTGAAAGGACGTTTGACACGACCTGGGCAAAGATTGCATTCATGCTGATGTTTCCAACATAATATCCCACAGGTGTTTTTCTAGCTTTTATTTACAGCCTCATGATGGGGAACTTTCTATGTCACGAGGAAGCCAATCCAAGTGTATGCAGTATTAAGTATTAGAAAGGAGAGAAAGGAGTGAACACTTGATTCTGTGTTGTGGATCTAGCCTCTTTCAAAATGTCTTACTCAGTTCTCAGAATAACTCTGTTTTTCCTGTTTTATGGGTTGGGAAGACAAAACTCAGATAAATTAAGTTTGTGTGAGATCTCTTACCTACAAAGAGGCAAGAGTTAAGGATCTATTCTGATTTTTTGTACTACACCATGCTCCCTCCACAGGAGTTGCTTTTCTTTGAAATTAAAGGCATCTCCCTGCAGTGTTCTCAATTGGTCCCTGAAAAATGCCCTGTCCTCACAGAAGGGCTATGATCTCACTCCACCTTCTACTCTTATGATCTTGCAGACCGCTCTCCTGCGCCTCCTGGTGTCCTCTCCCCACACTGCACCTTTATAGTTCCTGCTCTTGCTTCCTCACCACCTTGGCCAGGCTCTGTGGCTCTACTCCAGTTTGTCTAAGTCCCTCCAAGTATGTCTTACCTAGGGAAGATCTCAAGAGGTAGAACCAGAAGAGCTTGCCCATTGGATACTGCTTGCTAACTATCCCTTTACCACTTCCTTACTGATTGACCATCTTGTGGATAAAGGCTGAGGTCTAAATTCCCCAGGTGCTGTTTGCATTTTTCTAGCAACTCATGTAACTCCATGGAACCAGCCCAGCTCCACAGACTTCTTCTACCACCGATTTTTAGCATCAGCTTTAACAACCATCCTGGGAACTGAGAAATCGAATTAACTATGTCTTACGGAGGCTAGAGCCATGGCTTTCACATCAAATTGACCTAGCACAAATCACAGTTCCACCTTCTCCACAGTGGGACTCTAGGCATGACATTTAACCTCTTCAATTTCTTCATCTGTAAAATCCATTGGGATCTACCTCATGGAATCCACAAGGTAAAAGGAGATCATGCATTTAGAGCATTTAACCCAGTGCTTAGTACAGAAAGTGCTCAAAATGGCAGTTAGTACTCTTTATTAACTCAACAAATATTCATTAGGCACCTGAGATGCTCGGGTATGGAACAACTGTGAGCAAAAATAACCATGCAAGTGCATACCTACAACCACGGTAACTGCCCAGAGGAAAGAACTCACTGGGTCCTATACAGATGCAGATGGGCAGGAGTGCTCAGGGAAGGCTTCCAGAAGGCAATGAGGTTTGAGCTGAGGATTAAAGGATGATTAAAAGTTATTTAGGTCATAGACCAAGTGGGGAGGAAGAATTTTCCTGGTGAGGCAAACAACATTTAAAAGGACGTTGAAATGAGAGAGCACATGATATGTTTGAGAAGCTGAAAGACGGCCACGGTAGGGGATGCACAGGCAGGGGTGGAGAGTGGCCCAGATGGGGGCCAGGTGAAGGGGCTTAGCCCTGAGAGTGATGGGAAGATGCTGAAAGGTATTGAATGCGAGGGGTGAGCCTGTGGGGGTGATGTCACTAGATCATGCTCGAGGCTCACTCTGCTTTCAGGGCATGGGGCAGATTGAAAGGGGCAAGAGGATGTGGGCACAGCTAGGAGGCTATTAGGTGGTGGTGGGCATGAAATATAGGTGATGGCATCAAGAGAAATTGAAAGTAAAATGGACCAGTCTCACTGATGGGTTGGATGAAGACAGAGTGAGGGAAAGGCTCACGCTGGGCTTTCTTGGGTTTGCTAGTATGTGCCTGGGTGGAGAGGGGTCCTCTCACTGGGCTGCCTGATGCTGTTATTGGACCTGCTATGGGGTGTGGGGGCAGGGTACAGATGTTGGAGGGCAGAGAATAGGAGAAACACAGGTGAAGGGCACATCCTTTACCTGTGTGGAGCTGCCACAGTTAGCACTTCATGACCACTTCACGGTAGAATGTGGTGTGAGCAGCTGTAGCATTATTCTCCCATCCATGCATACACATCCCTTCCCAAGACCTACACCAACCTGTCCCTTTTGGAAAGATCCATTCTATACTTAAAAGTAGTCAAGACTCCTGCTCAAATTCCCACCAGAAAAATCGAGTCCAATTTCTAAGCTGTTCCATGCAAATAGGGTAATAGGGGGTGGGCTCAGAAACTGTGGGTAGGTTGGGGAGAGTGGCTCAGGCCCTGGCACAGAAGCCTGAGGACCACTGGCCCTCTGTGTGGGTGTGCTGCTTGGGTCAAGCCCTGCCTGAATCTTTGCTGCCTTCTCTAGGGCACTATGATCCTGACAAATTTGACTGCGCTGCACAAGGACCCCACAGAGTGGGCCACCCCGGACACGTTCAATCCTGAGCATTTTCTGGAAAATGGACAGTTTAAGAAAAGGGAAGCCTTTCTGCCTTTCTCAATAGGTGAGTTGTAATAGCAGGCTTGTGGGAGTCCAGAATCCCTCTCCCAGCCTCCCCTGCTCTTCTCCTGCAGTCCCCTGCTTTAGCTGGAATGTGTCCAGACAGCCCTGCCCAGAGCCACTCCATCTCTCTATGGTTGCTGCACCAGGACCCCCTGGCTAGGCAGTGCTCAGCCTGTCCTTCCTTCCCATGCCCTCCCGGCCTCCGCTGGAGCTGTCGGCTTCCCTTCTGCTGTCCTCCAGATCACTAGGGACAGACACCATGACCCCACCCCTCTCTCACAAAGAAGGTGGACATCAGCCATCTTTATTAAGTTTTCAAATGTCCAAAGTCCTTTTTAAGGGATGCCCGTTCACATAGAAACAGAGGTGATCTCCAATAACGAGAGAGGGAGGGTCAGGGGAACAGGGTTACTCATCCACCTGCGCATCCATCAGTGATTCTGAACACCACTGGCTTAACTAGATTGGGTTCTGCTCTATAAGCACTGCCTAAAGAATTCCTTTGGATTTTTTTTTTTTACCTTTAAAACCTAGTTAATATATTTGTATGGTAGACACCCTGAATGGTAGCAAACATGATGCAGTGAAAACTCTCTCCAGTTTCTAAGCTAGCCAATTTCAAAAGTGTATTTTTAACTCATAACATTGTAAAATCAGTAACAAAAATTTTTAGCATATTCCAGGTGTTGAGTTAATATGTTGCATGGATTATTTCAAACAATTTCCCTATTCCTTAGTTTCAGAAATATTTACTGACCATCTATTACGTGTCAAGCATTCAGCCTTAAGGATGTTAGAATGAAGGAATGAAATAGGAAACAAAACAAAACTGCCCTCATGGTGCATTTGTTCTAGTATAACCTACCAGGTTTGAATTACTATCACCATAAGGAAACTGAGGCTTAACGAACTATAGAAAATCAGTCATAAATTTCATGTGGCAGAGTTAGGACTCAGTGGCAACCAGATTTATCATAAAATGAAACTCGTGTTCTTCCTGATGGTATCTACTGACAATAACTAAATGCTACACAGAACCCACACTGTGGGGAGCATGATAGTTTCCTTATCATTCACTTAAAATATGTGTTGAATTTCTGAGACAGTATCATTTTACTGCTGTTGACACTAAGGCCCAGAAAGGGAGGAAACAGAATTTGAACTCCTGTCGGTGTGACTGCAAAGCCCCGGTTTTCCCACTGTGCTGTGCTGCCCTCGGTGTCTGGGCTGATTCTGATTATAAACGCTTTGTCCTTATTCATCTGGTTCTATGTCGCATTTGCTCACATTGGACAAGTCACTCCTCGTACATATAAGATGTAGGAATTCCTTCCAGTCTCCCCGTCTATAATAGTTTCAAATTTTGTGTTACAGCACAAAGTTTCAGCTGTATATTTTAGTTGTTATAGTACTTTCTTTTTCCTCTCTTGCATCACATCCATGAAACGCTGAAATGCTAGAAATGTGACCCTCTGTGCATTCCACAAAAATGCTTTGCCTAATGCTTGCTGTACCTGTGTTGAGAGGAATCTCATTACATGTGCATCGCTTTGAAAAGAAGAAGGTTCCTGTGGACTAAATGATGACTGGATGCCTCTCCTTCCTATTATGGAAGCACCTTCCTCATAGTGGCTTCCTCCCTCTCCTTGTTGAAAAAAAATCTCTCCTCTGCAATAGCGATAGTAGTGAAAAACAGAACCTTACACACAGTGACTCACTGGTACTTTGCTGTTGAGAACTGAATTACACCCTCTTAATTAGAGACTTGAATTGCAAGCAAATTATCTCATATAATCTTTACAACAACTTAATTGTTAATAATTAGGCAGGAGATGAATTGGTGTCTCCTTTCTTAATACAAGGAAACTAAAAAGGAAATAGTTATTTCTTATCCAATATCATATGGCCAAGGAATTGGCAGAACACCTAAGACTCCAGTTTTTGTACTTCTAGTCTGGCGCTCCCTCCAGTACACCTAGAATGTAACTTACTTCTCCATTTACAGGCCTCTCCACTTTAAGACTGACTGATTTTATTCCGTATGTATCAATTAACACATTGGTGTCAGGGCCTTTAGGGCCCCACTTGACTTAGGTCTGGGGGACTGACTCCCAAACTCTGACTAACAACTAACTCGTACCAACCATACCACTCTGTTTCTCAAAAGTGATGCCTTTTGTCTGTGCCCTGACATAGACACAGGCACACTTTCCTCAGGTCATCACATGCACCCTGACCTTGGACTTGGGTCGTCACTCATCATTCACCTCTCAAACACTCAAGCAGACATACACAGTACAGGCACTCTCGCATTCAAACATGGAAACACGAAGAAGCACTTCTTAGCGAGAAGCACAAGCGAATGTTGCAGAGACCAAGAAAATTCTGAAAGATGTTCCTCTTGCCTTTTGGATGCAGGGACATTTTATCAAGTGTAATGGTATATCCCATTCTGGTATAAACGGATTTATCTGCTGTGTTTGATTACATTGCAAAGCAAAACCTAAGCATGGAACTTGTATCTTATCGCTCTAAGGTATGCACAGTTCCAGTGTCGATAATCACACAAAGAAACAAAATTTGCAAATATATCTAGTTATTATAATCTGTGAAACATCTGTTAGGATGTTTCTGAAGAGGAATTGAACCATTTATAGCCTTTTATACATTTAGTTTAAGACAGGTACGTGAAAATCTAAATGACACACATATGCTTCATCCAGACTCAAGTCAAAAACCTAAATGACGCATATATGCCCCATCCAATGCCAATGCCTAAATGTATCGCTATGTGAGAAACAGTCCAAAACTCTGTGGCTTAAAACGAAAATCATGTGCTATTGCTCACATGTCTACAAGTCAGATGTGTGGCTCTGCCGATCTCAGCTGGGCTCTCTTGATCTCCCTGATCTCTCTGATCTAGGCTGGGAGGTCAGCTGGCTGTAGGCTGATCTAGGATGTCCTCAGCTGGGACAACAGGGCACATTTCATGTTATCTCTCATCCTCCGGCAAGCCAGCCTGGCTTGTTCACATGGTGGCCGATAAGGTCTCAAGAGGCAGAATGGAAGCTCACAGGCTTCTGAAGGTCCAGACTGGGAACGGGCACAACATCACATCCACTGCATTCTTTTGGCCAGTGCAAGTCATGAGGCTGTTTCCAATTCAAGGGGAGGGGAATTGCTGTGATTTTTTTATGGGAAGAGCTATGATGTCACATTACAAATGATGTGGATCCAAAAAGAGGGGGAAATTGGAGCTGTTGTGTTCTCACCATCTCTCTTTCTGACTGAGAATGAAATTCAGCAGTTTGCCTGGGGAGTCCTGCAGAAAGTGAGATGGAATGAGGGCCAGTTAAACGGAACAGGGATAGGAGCCTGAAGAATCCCAGGGGGTAACAAAATGTCAACAGGACTGTTTGGTTTCTCCACCACGCCCCCATCTCTGGCACACAGTGGCTTTTCCTCACTCTTGGTGTAGCACTTTCTAAAGACAGCCTCCCTGGAAGAAGGAGGTGTGGACAGCAGCTTCCCTCTATTGGGAAAGATGACCAGGTGTGGAATTACTACCTGTGCATAATCTGCTTATTTCTATTTACTTTTCCTCATTTGAATTCTTCCTGTTTGATCCATCAAAGCAACAGGCAGCTTCATAAAAGGCAGGAGCCTAGTTCCTCAATTGTCAAATAACACCATTAGATCATAGGAGATAGGCTTGGAAAGAACTTTGCCAAAAACCTAGCTTAGTTCTCTCATTTTACTACTGAGGCAATTGACCAGGTGGGTTAGTGATGGCCGGTTAGTGGAAGTCATCCACAGACAGGGTCCAAGTATCCCCAAGCCAAAGATTTGAAATCTAATACTCCTGGTTTTCATTCTTTTAAAAGCAAAGTCATACCTGCTATCTCATTGGGATCCTTGCCCAGCCATGTGACACAGGAGAGAGAGTATTTCATGTATCTGACCAGGGAGAAAATTTAGCTCTGTGAGAATGAATGGTTTACTCACAGTCACACAGGTAGGTACTCATGGAGGTAGTTTTTTAACCCTTGTTGCTGACTTTCTAGGTCCAGTTTTGTCATAACATGTGGATTCTTCTAGGAGAATCTTGGGTATTTCCAATATGCTGATATGATATCATTTTAAACAAGTTGCTAATTGTGCTATTTGTGATGGATAAAGTGATAAAGATAAGGGGAACAGACATGAATTAGACACACACTGGTGGGAAACACAGGCACACAGCAATATAATAACAACATAATCATGAAGCACATTTACATTTATTAAGCATCTTTGCATGCATGATGTAATTTTATCTCCTCAACAACTTGTTATAGGCAAAGGACAAATCTTAGGCATGCAGACATTCATAAATTTGCAAGAATATTTAACTACATGGCAAAAATACAAAGTAGCAAAATCAGCATATATTAGTAGAATTAACTATAGGGAATAATGCCTGTTATGATGTCAGGGGAAATCCTTACTAGGACAATGAGGAAATATGGCAAAATGTTTATAATAGTTTTGTTGGATTCTGGGATTACACATATTTTTTATTTTCCTCTTTATACTATTTTTCCTGCTTATTTTCTCTTTTTGCAGTGTATATGCATTACTTAGGGAGGAAGTAAGCTAATAAAATGCACATGGGAGAGCTGGTGGTACAAACAGGTATCAGGTATTACAGCCCCCCGGGGGGCTGGGGGAGGATGACATTCACTCAAGAAGGGAAGCCTAGAGCAGGTTTCAGAGCACAAGCAAGATGAGGAGGGGTCTGTACAGGGTGGCTGTGGCAGTGATTGGAAATAAGTTCTGTGGAAGGGATACAAACACAATGACTAAATATACTGAGTCTAATGGGAGGTATGGGAGCAAGTTAGAAATAGGGAAAGGGAGAAAGCAGAATGAACTCTGTGGCATTGGATTGGTATTGGGGGTGATTGATATGAACTGAGATTTTCAATAGATATAGAAATATAGATGTAAATATGAGAATATATGCACACATTTGCATATATACTCACATTATATACACGCATCTATTACCCAGCTCTCTTCACTGAGGTGGCCTAGAAGCAGCAACATCTGGAGTGCGCTGAGCATGCCTAATGCCCAGATGTTGATTTCCACATGTCATTATGCACTAAAACGAACCAAGACTTTTGGAAAAATGGCTGATTTCGGAGCTGGGCAAGAGAATGTATAAGACAAACCTGGAATATGTTGTAGTGCCAAAAAGGCAGGAAATGCCAGCTGGAATGGGCATCTAATGGCCAAATCTGGAATATATTGAGCATCAAAACAAGTAATCGTAGTAACAGATTATAACCATTTGAATGAAAATAAGAACCCCATGAATCCATACTGATGTAAATCAATGAGAAAATAAATAAATTGGGATGAGTCCAACTTATTGTCAAGTAATTCAGGAGAAACAAGTTCTATACGTTATTTTTGCAATTTTTTTGTATATTTGAAATTATTTCAGAATAAAGGGCACATTATAGAGTGTACCATAGTAAAGTACTACAATGAGCAAAAACTATTTGAATAACACTGCTGAACAAATGGTTTTATTTAAAGGTTATCTTTTATTTTTTGTTTTTATTTTTATTTTTTTTTTAGAGGCAGGGTTTGGCTCTGTCACCCAGGCAGGAGTGCAGTGCGATGACCATAGCTCATTGCAGCCTTGAACTCCTGGGCTCAAGTGATGCTCCTGCCTCAGCCTCTCGAACAGCTGGGACCGCAGGCGCACACCACCATGCCCAGTGAATTTATTCTACTTTGTGCAGAGACGAGGTCTCACTATATTGCTCAGGCTGGTCTAGAACCCCTAGCCTGAAGGGATCCTCCCACCTCAGCCTCCTAAAGTGCTGGGATTACAGGGGTGACCCACCACACCTAGCCAAAGGATATCCTTTAAATTGTATTCTTCTGTTTTTTGAAAATTAACCTGATAAAGTTAACGATAAGCTACTATATAGCTGCAATGTTTACTATTATCCAGGTGACATTTTAAAATAGTTTGCTTTGTGTATAAATTGTTAAATTATTTGCCCCTTCTGGATTCATTGTGTAGTCTTCACAACATATAAAGTTCTCATGATAAACATATATACATTTTCACTAATGCCTAGAGAGGTTGCTTAATTTGCCCCAATCACATGGTTACAACATGGGAGGAGTAGAATTGGACCTCTGTCCTTCTGACTGCAGTTCACCCACACATAACAGGGAGTGGGACGGGACCAGGGCAGTGCCAAGTATGAGCTGTGGAGAGCAGGAGCCAGCATCGGGCCCCACTTTAGAAGGAATGGCTTATGTGGGGACAGGACCACCATGTATCAGAAGGAATATGCAAGAAGAGAGGCTGAACCAGTTCCAACATAGGGGGTCATCCATGCCAGTGAGGACTCCATGATTAAGGAGGAAAACATGGCATAGGGGAAAGATGACATGTACATTAGAAACCCTGCTCTGATAGTTACTGAATTATATTTTGGACACTTTCCTTTTAAGGATTGGAAAAACATTAACACGGAGTTTTATCATTGTTTCATTGTCTGCATTTGTCGTTGTTTGTTAAGTGAGTTTTTAAAGCCCTTAGGCTAGACTCCCACTTTGTAGGTCAGCCCAGCCTTCCAGTTCTATGATCCCTCAATGTTCATCCTGCAACCTCTCCTGCCTGACCTCTGAAGGAATCTGACTTTGTGATTCTGGACTTCTACTTTCTGTGTTTCGGTGAACACAAGTGACTGAACTCAAGTGGTTGTCAGACTTACACTGCTGCCCATAAAGGCCTTCCTCGACTCAGGACTTACAGGTTGTCGTTGAGGATCCTAATCCCACCTGGGAAGACAACTCATCTTTCGATTTTGTCTTTCAGGAAAGCGGGCGTGCCTTGGAGAACAGTTGGCCAAGTCTGAGCTCTTTATTTTCTTCACTTCCCTTATGCAAAAATTTACCTTCAGGCCCCCCAAAAATGAGAAGCTGAGCCTGAAGTTCAGAATGGGCATCACCATCTCCCCAGTCAAACACCGCCTCTGTGCTATTCCTCGGGCGTGACGTCGCAGGGAAGGAAAGGGGGAAGGAAGGAAGAAGAAACGGCATGTGTTCTGAAGCCACTGGTGACTGCACAGATGAGAGTGGACAAAATGAAAGTGACCCTGAGGAAAGATCAGAGGAAACTATATCCAAATCTGAGCTCTGCTGTCTCCTCCAAATGAGCCTTGAGAAAATCGTTTATGTGCTGAACAATTTACCTTTTAATCTGGGCGATGAAAAGAGGACAATGATTCCTTCACTAAAGAAAGTTCTCGTAGGATTCGAAGGAAATAGTAGCCTTTAAGTGATTTATAAACCATAAAGCACATCATAAAAGTTACAGCTGTAATGTGCCTCCATCCAGCTTCCATTGTTAGACGTGTATTTGCTTTAGGCCTGTTGATAGCTCAAATCAAAGTAGTGCAAAATAGTCAATCGATTTAAAAGTGGGCCCTAGGAGCAGCCACACAGGTGAGCCCTAAAGGCCATCTCATTTGGTCACACTGTGCCTCAGAATTGTTTCTGCCTCAGAATGGTTCTCTGAGAAGTTAGCAGGGCAGGTATTACTCCCTATTGACAGAGAAATCAAGTGTTGTTGAAGCAGTTTCTATGGATGACATAAGGAAACACTACCTTGGCCTTAGATCCAGGACCAAGTAGAGTGTGTCCCCAATTCACCAACGTGGGAAGCAGGTTCGGGGGTCAAATGTGGAAATATTTTCTGTCCTTCAGGGTACCTCTTTGCCCTAAATCTTTCATCAGATATTGATTCTCTGTTTCACATTGGATTTAACAATGTGGTAGGTGTGATCTTTTCTTACAACTAGATTGTAAGCTTTTGGTGGGCCCTGGGAGAGTATTTTATAGCAGGAAATCAGAAAGGTCACATACCTGCTCAACCCATCTGGGTCTGGCTGCTGAGGGGAGACAATGCTCATATAAGAGAAGGTCAGGTAACACTGATACTCCATGGAGCTTTGATACCATGCCAATGCAGAAAAGTGAACAAAACCCCTAAGAAACTAGGCTAACCCTTATAAAAGGATCTGTTTTCCCTAAAGCGGTGTCTTAGTCTGTTTTCTGTTGCTATAACACAATACACGAGAGTGGATAAATTATAGAGAAAAGTTTATTTGCTCATGGTTCTGGAGGCTGGAAAGTCTAAGAAGGGCAGGGTGGTAGCTTCTTGCAAGGGCTTTTGTACTGTGTCATAATGTGGTAGAAAAAAAGAAGGGCAAGCCAACACCTACCAAATAGAGAAAGCATGAGGTGCTGGGCTCACTTTATAGCAGCCCATTTCCTTAATAACTAAGCCACTACTACAGTAGTGACATTAATCCATTTGTGAGGGCTTGACCATCCTGATCCAATCATCTTTCATTAGGCTACACCTCCTGACAGAGCAGCATGGGGAATCAACTTTCAAAATACCCTTTAGAGGGACAAACACTCAAACCATAGCAAGGTGGTTAGACCTATGTAATTTTAGTAACCTAAAACACAGCATGCCACAAAGCCATGCTGCATATCCTTCCTGTCTCTTGGGATTCAGAGAAAAGCCAATGCAGTTGGCACTGTGAGAATGGGAAACAGAGAAAAGGATGGGGGTAGAGTGTTTGGCAGCAGCCAGCCTAAGCTGGCTGGGAGAGCCAAGAAAAATGCATCTGGAAGAAATGGTTGGATTTTTAATGTGCGGGACGAGGCTCTGGTCCTTCTTGTCTGGTGAAAGAAAGAAAGGGAGTGAGAGCCCCATGCATGTGCACTTTTTTGTAACCCATTGGAAAGTTGCATCTCTAGAAAACAGGCCAAGTGATAGAGAATAAAACCAATCAAATCAGGCCTTGAACTTGAGCTTCCCAAACTTCCAGGGCCTTGTCTTCCATTTAGTTTCCCCAATAAGATCACCCAAGTAGGAGACTCAAACAGAAATTGGTCAAAATACATTATGTGTCTCAGTTTCTTCATGTGTAAAATGAAGGATTTGTTGAAGTCATTGCTAAATTCCATTCCTGCTCTGCTGTGCATCGTCCATGATCCTGGATGGGCAGGTACACACCCATTTCTAGGGGAATAAATGTCAAATCACTGGGACTCATCCTGGCCTAAGGGATGCAATGGGACCCAGGGCCAAATAGGGTTTGAGCACAATTAGTTGGAAACCTGGGCAATACATGACTATACTTGATTTTCCTGGCCATATAAAACATCTCTTTTTTCTTTTAAAGTTTGTTCGCAAGTCTAAAATCTGAGCCCTTTTCCTGTCCAAGGATGACATGAAGATTTTGTTAGTAACTCTCTTACTCCTCCATCTATTTTGAAGGCTCTAGGGCCCCTTGACTTCTTTTTTTGTATTGGCGCCTGAGACAGGGTGTGCAGGCAACATAACATGATCTGTGGCATCATGGACCAGGTATGGATTTTTCCAAATGGCAACGCAGGCTGTGCGTCTCCTCTCTACCACTCTCCTTCAAAGAGAAACAGACACATGCAGGCTGCGGGATAAATTTAAAATCGGGTTGGACGTCAAGTGAGTTATAGCAGAGAAGAGCAGGATACCCACGATATCCTGACCTGTCATGGAAGTGTGCCCACTTGGGACTGCATGTACCACGGAGAGGTCGAGGAGAGGGACTGCCCTCACAGTGTCACACATATTTTAGACTGGGGGCAGGGGCTGGCTAGGTCAGTAAGTAGCAGGGACAGCTCCCTGGGTGAGGAAGCAGCTTGGTTAGAATAGGAAACTCCACACACCGCTGGTGCCAAGCTGTTCTCCCCTTGAGCTCCCACAAGCCTGCTGAGCCAGCCTTTTGCTAAGCCACCAAAAGGGAAGAGGTGCAGTGGTAAGTGGTCAGGGTCATCTGGATTTGTCACTGCTCAACCCCTTACTGTGACTTTGAGAGCGAGACATTTAAACGTGCAAAGTCTCTTTTTCCTCTTCTAAAACAAAAGTATGACAGCAGAAATGTCACAGGTGGTGAGGATAAAATTGGAAAACATGAAATCCTGTCTGTGTCACAGATTGATAGCAGTGAGATTCAAGGGGGTGCAAGGCAAAAGTGGTTCTGTTGCCACCCACCCACACCCCAACACACTCTCTGCACTACCTTTCTGACTCGGAATGAAATTTCGGAGTCCATCACTTTTCAGGTTGCTCTTTCATAACGAATGGTCCTATTCTCACATTTATTCTTAAGAAAAGTCCTTTTGGTTGCTACAGTTTACAATCCAATAAGGATACAATTTATAGAACTCCACACTATAGGTGATTAGCTGCCCCTTCCCCACCCAGTTTCAGAACTGAAAGGTTTCCAGGCAGGGCAGGCACGGGTTTGACCACCTCGTCTGTCTGCACCATGTGCTCCTCCCTTCACCACCACCCCATCTCACGCTCCCACCCAGGTGATCCCCCGGTGCCGGGGCCATCCGTGTGCAGTGCCCTTAGCTTAATATACCCCTCCCACTGCTGGGCATCTGCCAGTTCAGTGCCTTTTCTGGTCAATTATCCCCCCAGGCAGTCCTCTTGTTGGCATCCAAGATGGTCCCAAGCTGGCTGTACCCTTGTCACATCATGAGGGGCCATGCAGTTTCCTACTGAGAGAGCCCATAACTGTTGGCCTCACCCAGCCTCTTGCTTGTATGTAATTCCAGGCCTCAGCGTGGCACTGATTCTTGGTACCCCAGAGATTCTACAAAGCACAGGCAAACACCTCCATGCTTGATGCCTCTGATTACAAGTTAGCTGCTAATCTTATCGTGGTTCCCTTTTATTGAATAAACTATTTTTCTCACGCAGCTTGCAAGATTTTCTCCTTGGCTTTCAGCATTTTGACTATGATGTATTTCGTGTGGATCTTTTTGCATTGGAGCTCATTAAGCTTCTTGGATACATAGATTAAAGTTTTTCATGAAATATCAGAATTTTAGAGCCATTCTTTCTTCAGATATATCTCTGCTTTTTTCCCTCTGTCATCCTCTGCGGTATTCGGATTACATACATACTGGCGTGTTTAATGGTGTCCCACGTTTTTCTGACGTCCTTTTCATTATTCTTCATCTTTTTTTCTCTCTTTTTTTTTAGATCGCATAATCTCTATCAAGCTATATTCAAGTTTATTGATCCTTACCTCTTCAGTTTACGTCTACTATTGATTCTTCTACTAATTTTTAAAATTTCAGTTATTTTACTTTTCAACTTCAAAATTTCATTTGGTTTTTTTTTTATAATTTCTATCTCCTTATTGATATTCTCTATTTGATGAGACATCGTCATTGTAACTTCATTTACTTCCTTTACCATAGTTTTATTTAGTCTTTTGGACATATTTCTAATTAAGTTTCTCTATAGTCTTTGCTAAGTGTGACACCTGGGCTCTCTCACAGGCAGGGTCAGTTGCCTGCTTTATTTACTCTGCTTGGCTACACTTTCCTTTTCCTTTGTATGTCTTCTAATTTTGCCTTGTAAACCATACATTTTAGGTAATATATTATAGCAATTCTAGTTAAAAATCTGTCCCCTCCTGCTGGGATTCTTCTTGTTTGTACTTTTATTTGCTTATTGATTAGGCTGGACTAATTCCTCTAAAGTGTAAAGTCTATGACGTTAGGTCTCTGTTGACAGAGACGTGAGTGTGCACACAGTCACAGAAGGATAACACTGGTTTTAGCAGGGGTCTCTTTGACTGTCTTTTTCTTATTCTCTTTTAAGCTGTCTGCCTCTGCAGGTATTACACTCAGTTCTTAATCTCCAATAACTACCAGCTGATTGCTCTATTGTCTTCATCCATGCCTGGGGAAGAAATTGGTTCACAAGCTGATCCAATTCAATTTGAGCTTCTCAGAAACAGTCTTTGAGGCCAGTCTTTGGGATTTGTTCTGGCCCCAGGAAGGCTCTTCTTAGCTTTCTCTTTCCCTGATAGCCCCTTGTAGACCTCTAGCTGGCGTATGGTATAGCTAATTGTTCTCTTGGAGCTACAGGCCTCCTTCTTAATTGCTTACCACCAAATTCTCTATTGTTTGGGGCATCACTCTCTAGTCTTTGTGGCTAACCTCTTTCAGTGCAGGACATCTATCCTATGTGCAAGCCGTGGTGAAGGTCCAGTATTCTCAGTCTACTGTCCTGGGGTAATGTTTCTGCCCTACAAGAAGGGGGTGGATGAAGGAGGATATCCCTGAATCTCTCAGTCAGTCTTGCCAGGAATGGAGTTTCTGCAGCATAGAGTAGAGAGTATGAGAAATGCTCGCAGCCTTTCCTTCTCAGGGAGATACTATAGCCATCAAGTGGGAGCTAAGGAAAGTGCTCTTGCCCACACCTGTCTAGAACTGATCTTCTGTCACACTGACCCGGGGACTGAGAGAGGCAGTGGTCATTGCTCAAATGCCACAGACTTTTGCTCTTTTTACAAAGGCTTAGTAGATTTTTCTTGGAGAAAATTTCTTCATTAACTTTATGTCTTTAGAACAATTGTCAGAGACATAAATGGTTGGGGTTTTATAAATAATTTTTATCAATTGTGGGTTTTTACTAGGAAGAGGTTCTGCAGAGCTCCTCATGCTGCCATTATGAAAGTCATCTTCCTGTAGCATTGTTTTTAATGCAAAAGAAAAAAAAATTCTAAAGGGAAGGAGGGAGATAGCAATCCTAAGTGTTCATTGACATAGGAATGAGTCAACAAATGGTGGTGTAGTACTAGCACACCACCTAGTTATTATTCTATTTTTTACTTCTTATCATCACCTTCTTTGAGAATGGTTAGCTATTAAATTGAATGAATTGGAGTCACATGTATCAGGATAGATCCCAAGCACATAATACTGGGTAAGAAAAAAGCAGTTGTAGAATATTTCTTTTAAAAATAACATATGTAAATATTAGAAACATTGTATAGATGCATAACAGTTGAAGTAAAACAGGAAAATGTGGACTGAAATATACAAGTTAATCTCTTACGAGTATTGCTCTCTGGATTTTGGAAAGATTGAATGAGACTTCTCTTTTATTTTATATCTTCTTAATAAAAGATTTTAAACAGAATGCATATCTCTATGTTGAGTACATGCGTGTGCACTATGCTATACTATTCCAGAACTGTGCTTCATGTTTTGAGTCTCACAAATGGTGAGCGCAAGTGCGCACTTGCGGGACAGAATGCCAGGTTGCAACGTGGAGGCCTTACACTCTTTGTGGCTTTAGAGAGGAGCCTCACAGAGCAAACCAAAAAGGTCCAGGACTAAGACATCCTTTCAACAAATGATAGTTAAGCATCCATGGAATATGCTCAGAGCTAGGAGCTTTAATGCAATTCCTTTTAATCTCCAAAATACTCTCAAAAATAGGGCCTCCTTTAGCTGTGTTTCAGACCAGGAGATTCATTTACTCACCAAGTACTTAGTACTTAACCTGTTTCCTCAACTGCAAGACGAGACTAACAAGAGCAACTCCTGCATAATTTTGTCAAAATAAAATAATTTGTGTAAAGATGCCAGTGTCTTGCCTGACATATACTAAGAGCTCAAGAATTGTTAGGTGCTGCTGTTGGTCATCACCGTTTACCAGGCACAGTTCCAATCACTGGTAGAGAAAGCGATTGAAATACATGAAGTCAAATGTCCGGGGCGCTCTCTGACATGCATCGAACCCGTGAATCTAGGAGCCCCAAGATGTTTGAGAAAGATGAGCTTTCTAAATACAAAGAAACCTCTTCTAGCATGGCCTTTTCCGGGTTGCCTACGTGTTCTCCCCGGAATGCAGAGCCAGGCATCTTTGCAGGGCAGGGCAGAGGGCAAGGCGCCGAGCGGAGGGGCGCGGTTGGAGGCGGGGCGTTGCTGGGAGTGAGGCAAAGCAGGGGAGGTGCTCTGCGAAGCCGAGTGAGGAGGGCTGCGGTGGGGCGGGCGGTCCTGGAGGGCGAGTGCGCGGACAGGCGGGACGGTCGCTTTCTCAGGTCGCAGAAGACAGAACAGACATCCCAGGCGAACTGGCGGCGATGGGCTCCCTGGCGGCCGCCCTCTGGACAGTGCTGCATCCCCAGACTCTCCTACTGGGTGCTGTCGCCTTTCTGCTCTTTGCTGACTTCCTTAAAAGAAGGCGCCCAAAGAACTACCCGCCAGGGCCCTGGCGCCTGCCCTTCGCTGGCAGCTTCTTCCACCTGGGCTTTGAGCAGTCTCACCTGACACTTCAGAGGGTAGGAGCAGGGGAAAGTGACTGGCCCCATCCTGACCCTAACTCTGGTCTGCAGGACAAGGGACACTCTGGGGACTGCGGTGGGGGTGAGGGTGGAAGGGAGGCGCTGTGGCTAATGCTTGTAACCAGGTAAACCCTGCTTTGAGCTTGATTTTCCTGTTTCGCCTACTGTCAGCTGGTATGATTAGACCTGCCCTTTTTAGGGGTGGCATATTATTAAGAGTACTAACCATGTGAAGTTTATTTACTCATTTAATTTCGTATTATCTTGTTAAACATTATTGGAACATCTTATTTATAATACGATTGCCTTGACCTCTTTTATATTATCCTTAAAAATGCCATAGTTCTAGGAAGCTTCATTTCCCATATGTAAGGTGGTGATACTACTACCTAAATCTTCATCATTTCTCAACTACATAACTCTCACCCCCAGACTATCTGATCCCCTGCCTTCAGCCTCCTCCCCTGCAGTGCACTCTCACTGAAATAATAATTTAAAATGTTATTCCTCTGCTTAAATTTTCTCAGTGCCTCCCACCGCTTCCCAGTGTTCAGACTCCTTACTGGGACACTTGGAACCCTTCCGGACCTGGCCTCTTTCCACCTCTTTATGATTATCTCCTATCAGGGCTCCCTGACTCTGCCCAGTCAGAGTTCTTTAAAGTTCCCTCAGACATCAAACACTTTCTCAAGAATCTTCAGCTGGTTTCCCTGCCACTCGGCACAGGTCCTTTGCTGAGAGACAACGCTGACAGGTGGTTATAGAGATTAAATAAAAGAGTGAATGATGGACGTGGCTTCTATTTGGTGCACAACAGCTATCAGTTCCCCTTTCCCTACACATGCCTGAGGTACTTTAAATGTGTGACTATATACTGTACTCAAATACAGATGGGAGAATACTTAGTACTCCGGGAGAAATGCCCAGCTGGTAACACTAAGTGACAGGATTAGTCACAGAATTTTAAAGCTAGGTTGCTAAACCTGTGCCCTTGTTTAAGAAGTGTAGTGTTTAATTTACAAGTATGTGGACATTTTCCTGTTAGTCTTCTGTTAATGATTTCCAGTTTGATTCCATTATAGTCAAAGAATCAATTCCTTTAAATTTATTAAGGTTGATTTAATGACACAAGATGCAGTTTGTCTTGATAAACATATGCATGTTTGAAAAAAATTCAGCTCTTGTTGGTTGGAGTGTTTTGTAAGAATCAATTAGATCTTATTCAGTAATGGTATTGTTTGGTTGTCTTATAGACTTGCTGATTTATTTTCTACTGATTCTATGAATTACTGAGAGTGACATGTTGATGTTCCCAACTACAATTGTGAGTTTATTTATTTCTTCATTCAGTTCTGGTAGTTTTTCCTTCATTTATTTGGAAGCGCTGTTGTTTTGTACATACCCGTAGGATTGTCATGTCTTTTTGGCAAAGTTACCCTTTTATCGTGTAATGTCCCTCTTTATCCCTGAACTTTGCTTATCTAATATAACACAGCCACACCAAACTCTCTTTTGATTAGTATGTGAGTAGTATAAGCTTCTCCATTATTTTATTTTAACCTACTTATTATATTTGAAATCATTTTCTTATAAACAGTATATATGTGGGTCATTGTTTTTTATTCTGCTGATCTCTGTCGTTTAAATGGCAAGTATGGATCATTTATATTTGATGAAATTATTGATACATTAGGATTTCAATCTACCGTTTTATTATTTGTTTTACATCTTTTCTTTCTTTTTCATTACTCTGTTTTCCCTTTCATGTCTTCCTGTGGGTCACATGAATATTTAAAATATAATTCCATTCTCATTTATCTGTAGTTTTTTGAAACTCATCTATTTGTTTTGTTTTACAAGTGGTTGCTCTGAGGATTACAATATTCTCATGTAGATTATTGCAGTCTACTAGTGTCAACATACTACCACTTCAAGTGAAATACTGGTATCTAACAACCATTTACTCTCCCCATTTTATTAGAATAATTGTCTTAAATATTATCTCTACATACATTAAGAACCACATTGGACAATATTATAATTTTGCTTTTAAATGACAAACGCAATTTTAAAAACTCAAGAGCAGAAAAATAGTCTATTGTATTTACCCATTTATTTACCTTTTTTGTTACTCTTTCTTTATTCCTGATAGTCCAAGTTTAAAATTTCCTTTCTGACCTGAAGAACTTTCTTTAGCCATTCAGCACATAGGGTAGGCATGCTGGCAAAAATTCTCTTAGCTTTTATACATCTAAGAATATCTTTATTTCACCTTCATTTCTGAAGTATACTTTTACTAGCTATAGAATTCTAGGTTGATGATTTATTTTATTCAACATTTTTAAATGCTGTGTGACTTCTTTCTGGTCTCCAGGTTTCTGATGAGAAATTGTTGTTTTCTAAATCATTATTCCCCATAGGTAATGAGTTTTTTCTCTGTCTGCTTTCAAGAAATTTTCTTTCTTTTTAGTTCTTTGAGGTTCGATTATAATAGGTCTTGGGGCTGTTTTCTTTGGGTTTATCCTGTTTGGGCTCTTGAACCTGTGGGTTTGCCTTTCCCAAATTTGGAGAGTTTCAGCCATTGTTCCTTCATATATTTTTTCAACCTCACATTTTTTTCCTTTCTCGGACTTTTCGGTACTCATGACACAAATGGTAGATCTCTTGGTTTTTGTACCCTAAATCGCTGAGACTCAGTTTTTGTCATTTCCTTTCTAGTTTCTCTGTCTTACTCAGACTGGATGCTTTCTACTGATTTGTCTTCAATTTCACTTATTCTTCTATCACTCCCACTTGCTACTGAGATGTTCTATTGAGTTTTTTATATGCCATTGTATTTTTCACTTCTAAAATTTCCATTTGGTTCTTCTTTATATCTTCTGTTTCTTTACTAAGATTTGCTATTTTTATTTGTTTTAAGAGTATTTATAGTTGTTTATTGGAACATCTTTATAATAGGTGCTTTAAAATCTTTAATTATTCTATAATTCCAACATCTGTATCATCTCAATGTTGGTGTCAACTTATTTAAATTGAGATTCTCCTGGTTCTTGGCAAGGTAATTCTTTTTAAACTGTATCCTGGACATTTTGTGTATGATGTTACCATGTTATAAGACATACTCTGGATACTATGTAAAACTTTTATTTGCCATATATCCTATTTAGATTCTTTTTTTATTATTATTTCAGCATATTATGGGGGTATAGATGTTTAGGTTACCTATGTTGCCCTTGCCCTATTTAGATTCTGAATGCTTACTTTTGTGCGCTGTGGTTCAAATGTTAATTAGGTTATGCAGCCTCTGCAGTGGCTATTCTGGTCTACCCGATTACGTCTTACGCACCCCCTCAGGCATCTACCACATAGTCTCATCAGTGTAGGCTGGGAGAAGGGAGATGGGGACAGAGACAGGGAATCCTCTGGGTAGTATCCTTACCACAGAGGGATGGGAGTCAGAGATCTGCCCACATCTACTCATGGGGACGTATACCTCCTTGTTACTGCAGGAGAAAAGTAAAGTAAAGTAAAGAAAATCCTAATTCTGCCCAAAGACTCCTTCCAGAGGAGTCTCTTTATTGCAGTTCAGGATTGAAAGTCAAAATTCAAGTCACAGATTCTGCAGGGAAGGACACCAGCTTGTTACTTCTTCGATAAAGTGAAAGACAAGATTCCACCCATGTTCTCCTTTGGTGCTGCACCCTTTAGGGCTGTGGAAGGTCACATCTTTTCATGGTGTTTGCCTCCAGAAAAGAGAAGTAAAAAAGCTAAAAGGTTTCTATCCTGTCAAGCTGTCCTTTTCCTGTCTTTGGCCAGAGAGAGTGGGCTTTTCTTGGAGGTCTTTTTGTCTCCATCAATTGGTGTCATGATTAGTAGAAGAAAAGTGGGATGCTTTTATTCAGTCTTGTCTGGAATACAAAGTTTGATTTGTGCCCTTTTTACTACCAAGATATATGTGACTAGACAGGATGAATGCTTCCCCTAATGTCACAAAACTAGGTAGTGATGAAACTGAGACTAAGTTCTTATCCCTGGCCCAGTGATCATTCATGTCTTATTTTTCATGTATTTTTTAAAATTTTATATAGGTTTACATTTTTATATTTCTGGGTGTGAAATACCTGAAGTTAAAAGGTATAATGTCATTATAATTAAATTTACATTTTTGCAATTGGAAAACATTAAGTACTAACTAACTGTCTAATAGATACTACATCAGAATATTTATGTTAATTCTCATTTAATCTTCATGATAGGCACATGAATTAGGTATTACCTGGTGGCATTTCCCTTTTACTATGAGTAAACTGAGAACAAACAGCAAAGTGATTTTCCCAGGTCATTCAGCTAAATTAATGGCAAAATAAGGACTTCAAAACAAGATTATTTGACTCATACACCTATTCTCTACTGACGCTATGTGACTTTTCATGATACAATTTGAAGATAATTGATTTATTCATGGGCTTATTTCTTCAACAGACATTTATTAAGTGTTTACCATATGCCAGGCACAGTACAAGACAGTGTATGATGAAATGTGTAGTGTACATGCTTGGCAACCAAATGGGATATCAGGAGATGGGATCACTGTGAATGGATAATCCTGGGGATACCTTTTGTAGAATGTTGGAATAAATTGGGCCGAACTTTAAAGAAATGTTTGATGTTTTGCAAGTAGCTAAGTGGAGTAAAGGGATAGGAGATTTTAAATGGGGGAAAATGGTCTAAAATAAACACAATGAGAGGACAGTGAAGAAATAGATCTCTTTGTATGGCGTGATGGGAGATTTTGTCCCTACCTCCCACCCCACCCCATTTTCTAAATTTTCTCTATTATAGCTATGTGGCTTATTATAGGATCATTTATTTAAATGAGAGAAAAATCTTATCAGACTAAGGTGGGAGAATGGTAGATAAGATTGACAAATATGTTACCTAGGATACATACCAGGCTGCTTATAACAACATGACCCCAAAATACAGTGATGTGAATG